GCTACAATAGCATACAGAAAGTGTGCGACATGGGTATTATAACGCTCAAAATTTAAAAGGCTTATATTAGAAGGAACGAACGACGAAGTCTGCCATCTGTTCAAACAAATTATTTTAAGCAGATGATAAATTGAGCAAATTAACAAAAGTTAAGTGTCGAAAGAAACAGAACAATAGTTATGATTAGCTAATTTATGAAAAAGGTTGCCACCTGTTTAAATTTTTTAATTAAATTTATGAAATTATCAAATATTACAATATTGGCACAAATTATGAAAACAAACAGCTTTCTCCGTGAGATACTTAATAGGAGGTTGCCAGCAATTTTTGTTTTTACACAACACATTTTTAAGAATTATTAAATATTACAATACAGACACTGAAGGGGGTTGCCAGCTGTTAAAAAAATGTTAATCAATTAAATTTACAAATTTAATATATAATAACAGAAAAAATTTAGAAATATTTTTAGAAGAAATTTTTAGAAGATTAACTGTCTGTACGTTCGTCCGCCTGTGCAAGCTATAACTTGAGTAAAAATGAAGATACCTTGATGAAACTTGGTACACATGTTCCTTGGTATCATAAGATGTTTCAAATTATATACGGGTATAAGCGGACCACTGCTACGCCCACAAAACACCATGAATCGAAAATCTAAGCAGTACCTACGGTTGAAACAAGTATAAAACTAAACTATTCGCTTTTTGGCTCTTCCTACGGTAGTGAGATAATGTATGATAACCCCGCCTACTCCCCATATAACGGTTTTGTTGAAAATTACTGAAAGTGCTATAAATCAATAACTAAAAACATCAGAGACATTTAATTTTACGTCCGGGATGGTACAACTGTTTTATCGAAGCCGTTGTCAAAATTGAACGATGGGCATGGTACCACCAACAATTAGGGGAAATCACATATGTCTGAAACTACTGGACCAATTTCAACCAAATTCAAAACATGGCATTATTTTAGTATTCCCGGACTGCATTCACCGCATATGATTTTTAAACTTGTAGTATACAAATCAAGCACCAAAGAATTGTCAAAATCGGACCATAACTGTTCAAGCCCCCAGTTACCGAATGTGTGGACCCCAATGCCTGCTGCTATTTTTTTTGATTGATTTGACACTATTTTAGCTGACGGGAAATAAATTATAGTAATTAAACTAAATGAGCTTATGATCTATAATAAAACTTTATAAATTAACAAATTTGATTGTAATCCATTCAAGATTTCGTCAAATAATAAATGTTGAATTCTATTGCAATATTTTTTAATATAAAGTTTTGTCAACACCTAATAGTATTTAGCCGACTTTGTTCCTTGCAAGTTTGAAGAGTATAAAATGTTCGGTCACACCCGAACTTAGCGCTGCCAGAATTCAATATTTAAAATACGCTCAACTAGATTTTACTTCTGGCACGCATAGTTCTGCTCACATTTTTCATTGTTTTATTTCAATTTTTAAGCTTTAACGCTTCACATATTTTAATTGACATGCCACGCCTTCACTTATTATTATTTATTATAACTTATTGATTAATTACTACAATATTTTCACGTCTTGATTACTTGCAATTATAATGCAATTATTTTAAACAATTAATTCCACTACGTAACCTATGCCATAAAAATTATTTATCTTTGTTAACATATGCATCATTAATTTTTTCTAGCTTTCAAGCATGTAAGTCTGGTTTTTTTTCTGTGTTTGTGGAAAAAATTCAATTACCTCCATGTTGGTACCCAATAAATTAAAAAAAAGAAAAATGAATGAAAAAAGTTGTTGCAATTATTACAATAGAAACACCTAGTGGGTATAACGAAAAACCACTGTCAAATGCAGCAAATGGCCTAACGGTGCAAATGCAGTACAAAGAAAAAATAATAATAAAAAAATTGCAACGAAAAAAAAAATTGAAAAGTGCAATTGCACATTTTGTGGGCGAGAACGTGCAAAGCGCACTTAAATGCTGGAAATTTACTTTTACAGCAAGTATTTAAGTAGCAACACGCTGCAGCAAAGGACAAATTGCATATGTTTGCTGTATGTATATACACATACATACACACCCACAAAACACACACAGATATTTCGGGGAAAACCGTTATTTTCTGCACTACATTTTGCACATTCACTGGACGACATGAAAAATAGTTACATGTAATAAATATATTTTTCTGCCGCTTTGTAGCTATTTTCTGCTTGCCTGCTTTTAGGCGCCGCGACTGTGCCTTTTCATTATGGCGCCATTGCAGCGTTTGTTTGTGCGCCATTATGCTGCTTACACCCACTGGCTGAAGTTAATTGTTGTTGTTGTTGTTGTTGCTTTTTTGCAGCATACTATGTTTGGACACTTTTTTGTCCAGCATTGCGCCGACATTTGTGCCTAATTTTGCGGTTGTTTGCGGCAATTGTTTTATGTTGCTATAATTTTTGTTACTGCACTATGCAGCAGCACTTGCTGAGCGCCAGGGCAAACATAGTCATGTACTTTCACGTGAAAGTGACAAAAGTATTGCTTCTTACGGACATGTGTCTGTCGACCCTTTTAATTTATTTTACAAACCTAAGACCGGAATATATACTCGAAAAAACATTGGAGCAATTGGCGATTAAAAATATGCAGTGTTGCATTTGGTGTTTTGTGTCTTATATGTTTATGAACGTTTCTAGATGTATATTAAATTCCGCATTTATTTGCAATACAATATTTGTAATAAAATATCATATTTCTTTTAACTCCACGAAATCTTCAAAAACAATAACCTTAAATAATATCCAATACCAAGAACTAAGTGTAATCTCTACACAACTGATCGCATTTTCTCGCATTTAATGGTTTTCTTTTAAGCGCATCATATTTTACATAACGGTAATTGTCAAATCAGCAATATTGTATAATTTGTAATTACTGTTAACCATAAATTATATATGCACAATTTCCTAACTTATCTCGATGGCACATGCTCGAAGGTGGTTTGCATTATTAACATAATTACGGTAATTCATATTTTTATTATTACACTTTGTGTGTGTGTGTATTTATGTATAGTATGGTGCAATTAACTTTTATTCGGAGTCGAAAATAAGACTCCCCGGAGAATAGATGTAATAGGAAAGCTTTGCTATAGATGGTGCGACGAAATAGATAATATATCTATGGTATACATACAAAACAAGTAATTTCATACATATAGAACATAAAAGAATAATTTGTAGTTTGTAATTTGTGATTTGTGATTTGTGATTTGTAATTTGTAATTGTCATTTGTAATTTGTAATTTGTAATTTGTAATTTGTAATTTGTAATTTGTAATTTGTAATTTGTAATTTAATTGTAATTTAATTTGTAATTTGTAATTTGTAATTTGTAATTTAGTAATTTGTAATTTGTAATTTGTAATTTGTAATTTAATTTGTAATTTGTAATTTGTCATTTGTCATTTGTCATTTGTAATTTGTCATTTGTAATTTTAATTTGTTAATTTGTATAATTTGTAATTTTAATTTAGTAATTTGGTATTGTAATTTGTAATTTGTCACTAATCATTTGAATTTGTAATTTGTCATTTCTAATTTGTATTTTATTTGTATTAATTTGTAATTTGTAATTTTAATTTGTAATTGTAATTTGTAATTTGTAATTTGTAATTTGTCATTTATCATTTGTAATTGTCATTTGTAATTTGTAATTTTAATTTGTAATTTGTAATTTGTAATTTGTAATTTGTAATTTGTAATTTAATGTTGTAATTTGTAATTTGTAATTTGTATTTGTAATTTGCAGTTTGTAATTTGTAATTTATTATTTGAAATGTGTTATTTGTAATTTGTTATTTATGTAATTTGTAATTTTCATTGTCATTTGTAATTTGTAATTTGTAGTTTTAATTTGTATTATTAATTCTCCAGTAAATTTCACTACTCGTTGCTGGGATTCAGACACTTGATTTAAGTTTTATTATATAAAGAAGGAGATCAGCACCACCTTCAAGGGATTCGAAAAATTCTCTATAAGAGTGACGCACCGAAATATTTATTGTTTATTCACATGCCTTTAAAATCAAAATACTGCGATCTCCGAGTTTATAAAGTTGGTACTCTCTAGTTTTCATAATTTGAATGACAATAAATTTAATTTTCAATAAAAGAAGATCAAAAGTTTTTGGAGCGAACTGTTAAGTGTATGATGAGTTTACGAATCTATAGGAATATATAATACTATCTAGTATGCCACTCGCTAATCGCCAATAAGAAATAAAATCTAGAGAACTGGGGCTTATTAACTCGCTTTACTGCGTATTTCGCCCTTCACCATCCACCAACTAATAAATTTCTTATAAATCAATAAAAATTGTGCTGCTGGGTTTCAAACACCCAACTTTAACTATTAACTACTTATGTGTCACAACTAATATTTTATGCAAATATAATTACGATACATACTTAAAGGCGCTTAAACACATAATAGAAATTTTACAAAGAGGCCACAAAGCAGTGAGCAAAGCTAGTGACATAAGCATATTTGAAGAGTGGGAGAGGCGGGCAGTGACACCCACACTGCGACTGCCACTGAGCCAACAAAATTAAATGAAAGATTTTCGAAAGTACTTGTAATGATAGTCTGCATGAAGTAGAAAGAGATGCAACTCATTGCGGTGGCAGCAGGTGGTGCACGAGCACGCGTGAGTTCGTGTGCGTGTGCGTGTGCGTACCGCCTTACAATCACACGCAATTTAACACTTAATTAGAAAATCCGCGCTGTAATACTGAGTTAATTAAGAACAAAAACAACAAAAGTCGCTATAATATCTTCATGTACATGAAATGTTACTAAATAAGTACAGTAGCTGCAAAAAGTAATCATACTGGTGGGTGGATAACTTTGTTAGAGTGAGAAGGCCGAAAGTAACATCGACAAATGAGTGGAGAAATGCTTAAATAAAATGTAAAAATTTAATGATTGTTATTGCAACTGTTCACTCACCAAATATACGCCCCGCTTGACTGCCCAACGGCGCTGCTGTCAGCAGCAGCAACAGCGCAGCAAAACCATAAATTATGAGGCCGAGATGATTTTTATATTTCGCTGAAATGCGTAGCGTCATCTTGCTGCTGTTACTGTTGTTGTAACGACGTTTTGTTGCTGCTCAATTGGCTATTGGCTAGATGCGCACACACACGCACATGCGTCACTTATAAACGAACTCTGTTGCGTACTTCTGGCAGCTTTTGTGGGTGGATTGGTGAGTTGTTGGGATTCGACGCGCTGTTGGCCACTCAAAAATGCCTGGACATTAAATATTTCACCAATTTTTTTTTTTGTTTGGTATTTAACTTTTTAATTTTATTTTCGGCTGTCCGCAGCCCACTTCCGTGTTTTTAATGACTCCTGCTTGTGTTGGCAATATTTGTAGCAGTGGATGTTTTAAGTTGTGTGTTTTTGTTATTTTTTACGGCTTCTACTAGATTTTCACTTTTTGTTTGTTGTTGGTTTCTCTATGTAATCTAATGATTCTGCTATTATTGTAATCGTATTTGCTAAATAAAATTATTTGCTTTTTCTTTCGCTTGTTTTTCTCTTCATATAAGCTGTTTAGGCGTTTAACGTATTACAACAACTTTTTATGATGCACATTTCATTTACATGTTAATGCGATTTCTTGCGTTATGTTCAGAGAAATCTGCAAGTAAATAGAAAAAAATAAATGTTTAATATATTGATTTTTTTTTTTTTTTGATATTCAGAAAATGTATTTATATAATATTTAAATGGCATTTAGGTCGAAAAACTTTAAATATATATAATATTATATTTGTGCTAAAAAAAACTATTGCAAATAATCATAAACAGATAATGATTGTAAAGTAGTAGTATTGCCAATGTCGACTTTTGGGATAAACTTCAGTAATTAACTGTTATCAGCCACCCCTTTTACATCTGACATTATAATTTTTTTCTTGTCATTTGTCATATTATCACATGTCACCACTTGTCACTTTTCACATATCACTTGTCACTAATTATGTGTGCACATTTTAATTAACAAGTCACAAGTCATTATTGTGGCTAGCCTCTTCATCTTGGATAAACTTGGGAAATGGATTGTAAAGTTTAAAAAAAATGTAACCCGAAACTCGTCAATTACTTTCGGCAAAATATTTAAATTTCATTCTAATCGCTTCAAAAGCATACGGATAAATGAATATTGAGTTCAATTAAATGTAGAAAAATACCACTGCTAAGGCTAATATACTTGTAGAGAGAAATATATTTGAATATGATATAATATATAATATCAAAGTAAGGTACGCTAAAGTATAATAACACTGGCTACTAGGTTGCCAGAACAATCAAAGTGCCGAATAAATAATGAAGACTGGACGCTTCTATGAAATCCTTCTCGCAGTAGAAAGAAGTTTAGTTGGCTTCTTTAGCTAACATTATCACTATAAACAAGTAAGGAAGGGCTAACAAAATATTCTATACTCTTGCAAGGATCAAAGCCAGCGAAAAAAACAAAAATTATTTAAATAGTTTATGGGAGTTTAAGTAATTTCAGATGGATGGATGGACGGACGGACGGACAGACAGTCATTCGGATTTCAGCTCATCTCATCATCCTGATTATTTATATTATTTATTATATCCCTATATCTATCTCGATTAGTTTTGTGTTATACAAACAACCGTTGGGTGAACAAAACTCTTACACTCTGTAGCAACATGTTGCAAAAGTATAAAAATGTATGGTTTTAGGTACACTCATGCCGATTGGCAACAAACTCGGACAGTCGATTTTCACCAGCTTTTCTTGAGGCGTATTTCCACCAAATCAATCGCCATAGACAGGAGCAGGTAGTAATCAATTGATGCCAGATCCAATATATAAGGTGGCTGTATCCCTCAATCAAGCTCCTAAAGCTTTAACAACTAACTATCGATTTGCTGCCTATCGTTATCCTTGAAATAAAATTCCTCTTAGTGACCAAAGCTGGCCGCATTTGGACGAAAACGCGTTCCGAATGTTGGGGTACGGATACGACTTTGGCCGAGAGGAGCGGCGCTCATAGTAGATGATTACAACTGAGACGCCACAGAAAACCTTTATGAACTTCAATTCTGGCGGTGTACCGTTTGCGCCGGTTTGTAACACATTTCACTGGACGTTGTAGTAAGTTACCCACTTTTCATCACAAGTAACATTCACCTCAAACATGGATCGCTTTTGTTGCAATTCAGTAGCCAGTCGCAGATGATAATTCGGTTCAAGAGGTTTTTCGTGTTAATTCTGTAAGGTACCCACTTTTTTGTATCCACCTTAATTTCAGTGCTTCGGTTGGTTTGCTGTACAATTTTAGCTCAGGGCTATCGATGAGCTTCTGACGGTCGGACTTCACAATTTTATCATTTTATCGATATGTTCGATAATTGGTCTTCTGGATCGGCGCCTCTTGACAGCAAAGTGGCGACGGAATCGACGAAATTGAAACTATGCGTTTTCGCCATTCTCAAGTAGCTGTAAAATATGCAAAAAGTTAAGTCAAGCAATTATAAAATAACATAAATTGTAATTCGATAATGTTTATACCGCGTGTACAGATTACTAAAGTCATCTATTGGAAAATATTGGATTTCTTTTAGTAAACTTTATAATTATTGGCTTTAACATTTTAAAGCTGTCTTCTGAAAGGAGTAAACAGAGCTACGAAGTTCTAATACCTTGAAAGTTTTAGGATTGTGTCCTAAGAGTTAGGTAAGTGTAATCGTAGATGCTACACATTTCAAAATCAATTTAAATGTGTTTTAGGCATTTTCGACCTTTGACAATGACTAAAGCGATGTGTAGAAACATAGGAAGACCGAGTATATGCTTACTTTTCGTAATTAAAATAGGGTTTTGACTAATTTATGATTTACATAAAGCAATCTGCCTCATTTAAACAATATCTCCTTTTGAACAATTATCTTCAGACGAGTAATTTTGGATCAAATATTCAACAAGAATGCCTAGATTTAACCATTAGCGCATAACAGAGACTAACTCTTGTAAAATAATGATATTTTACAGAATTTGACGTGTTTGAGACCGCAATATTTTGAACGGAGCAAGTTGAGCAAAACTTATCATAAGCAATGATACTGGTATCTTTACTAATTGATGCGGATTAGTTTTATAAAGTGCGCTTATATTTTTGGGTCACTTTTATGATAGTCTTTTGGCTTCCTGAATTCTAATACAATTACTTGATAATTTCAGAGTGATTGAGAATTAATTTGGTTAGTTTCTAATTAACTAGCATATCCAGTAATATACCTTGATAAAGAACTAAAACATAAACAATTAAGTAATGCTTTTATGAGTTTAGATATCTTTTCGTACAGTTAGGTTGCCCTTTTTAGAACCCGAATATTATAATAATACAATGAGTTAAAAATGGTGTTGTTGTGAATGACATTAATCTCGTGAAAGACTTATCGGTAGATTTTTCTACAGTCAATTTCTACATTTTCCGCAATCAAATTCATAAAGACTCTAAACACCGAACGAATTTATATAAAAACTACTTTCCTCTCAAAGGAAATTGAAAATTGTAAAAATTGCCAATTTCTCCAGAAAATGGCTTGACATCAAGACCTCGATAATATTTCAGCAGTAAAAATGTCTTTGAAAAAAACCAAAAGCTCATCTCGGAAACAAAAGCTTGAAAGTGATAACAACCATTCGCTCAAAACTCCAACCTACAGCTAGAGGTCAACGCAAAGAAAGTGTCAAAAATAATAAATTGGAAAGCACCAAAATTAACTGAAAGCTTGTTAGTAAAACTTTCGAGGCTGCAGCAGCCGCTGTAAACCAAAGAAATAAAAATAATTATATACAGCGCAAAAACGCGAAAAGCGCAAACTGCGTAAACACACAGCACACAGTGACAGTTGCAGAGCATGTTCCGGCGCTTTGCCCGCAGCTGAAGGATTGGCGGCGGGTGGCGCTGCGCCGACAGATAGCCGAAGTAATACGTCTGCAGTTGGGGACCCTGGGTCCTGTTGTCTCCACGATCGCGCTTCACGACGACTTGTTACATAAGCTGTTACGTCTCCCGCCTCCGCACTTCGTGCGCACCGTCTCTTAAATTCTCTTTCAGTTGCAGGACGGCGCCACTGCTTCCACCACGATATACGCACAGCTATATATAGATATGTATAAGTATATATATATATTTTTCTTCGATGAAAAATATGTTGCAACATTACATATTTTTAGGCGAAACAGCTGCGTCAACAAGCGCCAGCACGCCAGCTAACGCCAATGAAGCACCGTTTTTTGTTTTCTTAATTTTTCTTTCTTGAGTTACGTCACACAGATGTGTTTCTGTGTGTCTGTGCGTGTTTGCGAGCTGTTTGTACGCCCTGTGCCTGCCGCACACCGTTCGCTAACTTGGCATATGTTTGCTGCTGCACCTTATTTTTGTTGCATGTTGCTAGTTGGCTTCTTAGCACTACGTTTTTACTGTTCTTTTTTTATTGTTGTTGTTTGCTGTTAAGGTCTCGTTGGCGTTATGGTGTTGCTGGTTGCATTACTTCTTTCTTCTTTGCTGTGTGGCAAGCGTTTGCCTACGATTTTGAATTCTTTTTCAAACCTTTGGCACTTTTAACTGTTTGCATTTTTCTTCGTATATTACCGTGTGGTGTGTAGGAATATTATAAATTTGCTTGCAACACAGTGTGTTGGTAGCTCATAGGAAGTCTCTGTGTGAGTGTGGCTATATTTTTTGACCAAATTTTAATTACTGTTTAATTTCGCTGTAGATATAAATTTATTAATCCGACATACTAAATATTTAGACATGTCTTATTAATGTCACAATATCTTTTTTTTAATCCAAACAAATTCCTTTAAAAGTGGTCAAACAAAAGATCTTAAGCACATTCCAAATCTTCTTTGATTACCGTTTTTGATACCCAAGCCATCTCCGAACTAGCTAATGGAGTGTTAGCCGAGGTGATTCAATCAAAATGTTGTAATAGTTTCACAGTCAAGAAAGTAGTGCTGAGATGATTTTATTTCGCCTCTAAGATAGCGTTCTAAACTACTGTCTATCACCATTCCCTGACTCAACTTAAATGTTGCAATCAGAGTCAAGTTAAAAGCCTTGGAACTAAACAAACACAAATTTTGCTAAATCTTTTGCGATTAGTCCCGTACCAGCCAGCCCTTACGTCGCTTGAAAGGCTACCAGCTAAAACATAATTACTGGCAGTAACCCAGCGCTTGCAAAGCTCGAGTAAAGCCAAGCCAGTTGTCGTAACTTGATTATTATTCTAATTGGAAAGCTACTCTTCGTGTGCGTCTTTTTCAATATACATATGTCATTAATTTGTAGAATAAAAAATAATCAAATTTTTTTTCATTGAAATATGTTCAGCTTTGTACAATACTTGAAAAAAATTTTCGGCCGGGAGCTTTTCTTCATTACTTTAGTGTGAAGATAATCTTAACCGAAAGCCATCGCATTTTGGTGGAAATTAACGGTACGCATGCTCTAGCGAATATACCAAAAGTGGTTTGCACGATATAAAAGTGGTGATTTTGGTTAGGAAGACGAAAACTGTCCTGGGCGGCCAAAGAGCTCGCAGAATACTAACAAGTGTCTTAAGCGACCATATCAAAACAATTAA